TTCACTTTTCACATTTCACATTTCGAAAAATTATAGCTATCGGTTTTTCATTTCGAGCAAACATCCCCGGGGATCCTTGCGTGATCTCTTCTACAGGAGTCATTCGTAGTTAAGGCAAACTTCCAAAGATTTTTATCAAAGATAATATAAGCCTACTGCTTCCTAATCTTAACAGAACAGCAACTAATTACTTAATTCATCAAGATGAATGTGGGTACAATCTGAAGGGACGAAGACTAAGGTATCATTTACACAGTATGAAATAGGAAAATTGATCTAATAAGTACAATTCAGACATATTATATTATGAGCTTCATAAACTTTTAAAGATACTTTGTTCAATTTAATTTGGTGATTAAAATAAAATTCTTTACGTGTTAGAAGATATAGATTTTTTGGTGTTCTAACAAATGCTTCTTGATGTATTGGCTTGACTCTAGCCAAAATTTGATTGGACTACGTCCATAAACACAAATATTGTGGCCTATAGTTTTGCCTAAGACTCCATTCGATTTAAAGCTTTGATATGAGTCTGGTTACGTAACGTTCTCTTATTGTTAAGGATACTTCTATTTACGTACCCTATTTTTCGTTGTATGCAAATGCTGTTTTCTTCTTCTAACATCATACAGTTTATTGGGTCTATTTCCAGAATTTTCTCCAGTGTGAAAGTCGTCATCACCACCTAGCAATAGAGGATTTTGCAACGAGCTAGTATCCTTGAATTTAAATAGTAAATACAATCTTTTGACTAATTTTACGTTTAATGTTTGCGATGCTTCTTCTTTAACCCAAGTAGCTTCAAATTAATCTACCGTCTGTCCTCTTCAAATGTATCGCCACCGCAAGAAGTCATAAATTATACAACTTCACAAGGCAACTCCAAAAGTTGTTACTAGTTTCGGTGCATCACATATGGCTTTCCTTACATGTTTTATGTGTCAAAATTAATTTAACTTAATAGAAAGGAAAGATCTATGGAAAAGAATGGAAATATGAGGTACGAGTGTCATCCGACATTAGCTGTCAATTAGCGCAATAAATTAGCGATTATAACGAATTTAGTTGCGGAGACTAAGTCATTGAAATTAGCAGATATCGTATATGCGTTGATGTTTTTCTTTAGTCGAATGTTCCATAATCAGGCTCTTCTCTATTCAATGTTTTATTTAGTTGCGTTGCTCGAAGTGAGGCTACTTTGTTATCTGGAGTTTCCAGCAATCCAGTGATCCTGAATGCTCACTTTCCTCCTCAAAGCGTCAAAGTTTATCTTCGCAGCACAAGTGGTGGCGGTTCTGCCTCATCAGACGCTGGGCATTCTCATGAGACGGGATCACAAGTTACACTTGGACCAGGGGCCGGGTTTCGAAAGGGTGGCACATTGATTGCTAGTGGTGAACAGGTGATAATTGGATGTCAGGCAGATTCCTCGAATCCGGTGGCTGTGCTACGCTGGCGCAAATACAGATGTGGCCGACAGCAGCGTCTCCGACTCTTTTCTAGCAATCCAAATGTTCTGGCTACTGCCGGCATTGGCTCAGCCACTATGACGAATAGTGAAAGTCGAGTTCTGCCAACATCTGGCCAAATTAATGCAGGCTCTAGTATGATTCAGCCGATTAGAGAAGAAGCTGAGATTAACGTGATGACCAACAAGTCGGCAGAAGCACCGCCTGCTTGTGAAGCGATAGATATTGACGGTAAGCGGCAGACCCAATGTTTCAACATAATTAGAGAAAGAGAAGAAATATTACATACATGGCGAAAATGCAAATGGTGCTTAAAATTAATTCGTATATCTTAAGCTAAAATTGAAATAATTCTTCTAATATATCTGCTGTGACAATACCATTAAAAATGACCCAATTCATTAAATTTATCTCAGAGTTTCCTTAAAATGTATTATTATTATTAATATTATCCTATTATATCACATTATTACATCAACTAATTTTAACAATATTGGTTTCATGCATTTGACAAACTGAATTACGACTTTATTTGTTTCGTATTTGA